AGTGTGTGTGTGTGTGTGTGTGTGAGTGTGTGTGTGTGTGTGTGAGTGTGTGCGCGCGTATACGTGCGCGTGTGAGTGTATGTTAATAGGTGCAGGCGTTGTTGAGGGATCACGTGCATGTGTGTGAGCAGGTGCTGGAAAAAGGAGGAGTGAGGGGTAGGTGTTGTGTGTCATGGCAGTTGGAGGCTTAGCATGGCACGATTTATGGGCAAAAGGCGCAGCAGGGCAGGATCGCACTGCGCTGTCATGCAGTGGCATGCGCGACCAGCCGCAACCCATGTCTTCACAAGGCCCCAGTGGTGCGCCGCACCTCATCGGCAAAGTCTGGCGGGAAGAACGGGAAGTCTGTCTGATTGAATAGCAGCACCAAGCGGTGACACAGAGTCTGGTGGCTGAAGCACAGGATGAGGTCCATGGCGGCCCTGCGCCTCCCGGCCGCTGCGAAAAGCTGGTGCGAAGCTGCAGCCCGTCTGCTGGACAAGTGTTCTGGTCTCTGCCTGCTGTTGCCGGCTTTAACGCCTCTGCCCTCGTGATTTTGTCAGATCTGGACAAGCAGTGGAAGTGCTCCGGCCTCCTCCTTGCACCGCTTGATCGGCGCCGCCGCCGTCTGCAAGGCCAGCCTGCACCAGCAGCGCGCACGGCGGCAGCGCGCACGACGTGGCAGCCGCCGGTGTTGATGGCTTTTCAGCCGTGGGTCTGGGATGCTTCCCTTTCAATTACCAAACTATTCAAGCGCTTTTGAAACCGATTTTGACTCTCGGGCGCACAAAAGGCTGGCGATGGCGCGCAAAAAATTCAAGTGGCAGGCCGATCTGGAAGCGAGACAAGGGGAGCACAATGTGATTACGAAACCAAATTTTAGTGCCCATATACATAAGCCCAGCCCAGCCAAGGCACCTACCAACGCACCGCCCCCTCCACTGACTGCACCACGACTTTGTTTCAGCCACAGACACAAGGCAAGGCCTCAGTGAATTCAATCATTTGCAGATGCAAATTCATTTTCTTTGAGCTCCTCATACGTGCAAAGCAGGCTCCTCACACGCACCATAGATCTCGCCGTGTGCCCCGGCCCCTTATTCGACGCCAATCGACCTCACAGCCACCAAATATGTTTGTCATCAAAAGAGATGGGCGCCAGGTGCCTGTCCGCTTCGATAAGATCACAGCCAGGATCCAGCGTCTCAGCTACGGCCTCAACCAGACCTACTGCGACCCAGTGAGCACAATGTTGGGTCTCTGCAATGCGTGCAGCGCCTTCCGAGCCGCGTTAGAGCCTGATAAGGCCCGGGGACCCAATCAACAATTTGAGCGCCAAGCATTTCAAACGTGGTTGCACCATCGGCTCCCCGCGGGCCATCCAGCGGGTTCGATTGGCACATATTAGCGTGTTCGAGCACCGCTGCAGTCTGCAGTAGCGATCCAAGCAGCAACGGCGCTCGCGGCTGTGACGCCACTCACAGCCCAGCATGCTTCCCTGGTCCCCTTGGCCCCCCGACCACTATGTATCAGGTGCTGGTGGCCCAGAAGGTTGCGGCTGGAGTGTACCGCGGCGTGACCACCACTGAGCTTGACGAGCTGGCGGCGGAGACGGTGAGGCTCAGTTGTTTGGCAGGGCGAGTGCGACGCTCCTTTTCGCAGCGTGTGCAGCATTCGCAGCTCGGCCAGCCCGCAGCATGCGGTGGTGTTGATGATGCATGAAGGCCTGCAGACTGCAACGCAAGCGCTGCTCATGTCAGCCAAAATCACGGTGTGCAAGGCCTCCGCCCACGCCCCAACCCTAACGATTCGAATTCCCCCCTCGCCACCATCACCAGGCCGCTGCCCTGACCAGCACCCACCCCGACTATGCCGTGGTGAGTAGCGACCCCATTGCCGTAGTCAATTGCCTGACCGCAAAGCCCCGACCCACCCTGGCATGCACGCCGCCGGCCTTTTGGACATCTGTTCGCGCTACAGCCAATTCAAACGCGCGGCGCGCCCCACTGCGGCGTGCCACCCTTTTCGAACCCGCGCCCCCCCCCCCCCGCCCGCTCCCCCAGCTGGCTGCGCGTATCGCTGTGTCCAACCTCCACAAGAACACCCTCAAGTCGTTCAAGGAGACGTGAGCGGCGCGCCCGCGGCCCCGCGCCGCGTTCGAACCGCGGCCCAACAACCAACCGCCCGCCCGCTGGCCGGCTGTAGCGAGCGCGGGACCGACGGCGCGCGGTCGGGCGGGGTACGGGTGATCAATTTGCCTCCCCGCTGATGGTCCCCACCCCCCAACGCCGCACCTTGGATGACCTGGGCCGCAGTGTGCGCATCATGCACGAGCACGTCAACCCCAAGAACGACCAGCCCGCGCCCCTGGTGTCTGACGAGTGTTTCGAGATCATCATGGAGGTGGGGGGCGTGATCTGGGGGCCACGCCTGGGGCCGAGGGAGCCGCGTGGGCCGGCGATGGCAATGGCAGGGTCCAACAGCGGGAAACTTGCGCAAGGACGTGGGCCGAGCAGGCACCGATGGCGTTAGAGGGACGGCTCGGCGGCAAGGTTTTGGAGCGGGTGGTGTCAGTGCCTAGGACAGTAGGCAGTTGTGGGGCGCTGCAGCACAGTATGCTTGCACGCAGCAGAAAGCCGGCCTGGTGGAGCGTCCCAAAGGGCTCGTCAAAGACCGGGGCGCCGCAGCACGCCTCGCGCCGCTGCCCCTGGGGGTGGGGCTACCCCCATCGCACCTGCGCCACGGCTTGGTTTTCGCTGCTTCCCCCGGGGTGTTCCTGCTGACTGTGCGACCCTGGCGCGCGACCCGGCCGCCCCGCAGCATGGGGACCGCCTGGACAGTGAGATCAACTATGACCGCGACTTTGACTACGACTACTTCGGGTTCAAGGTGGGGGGGGGGGCACCTTGAAACCAAAGGGTGACTCGAAAGGCCCCCAGTATTCAGTCGGATGGAGGAGGGCAGGCCAGGGCAACCTGGGGGTTGGCGGTGCTTTGCGGACGGCGGCTGCACCGCTGGAGGCGGCGCGCCCATCTTGTCAGAATGGCGATTTTGGCGGTCGCTGAACCCAGCGCACGCAATCACACACTCACACACGCACGCATTACGCCCGCCGTCTTGCACGTCAGACCCTGGAGCGGTCCTACCTGCTGCGGCTGCACGGCAAGATCATCGAGAGGCCCCAGCACATGCTGATGCGCGTGGCCGGTGCGCGGCGGGGCGCTGGGCCGAGAATTCAAGCCTATTCAGCGGTGCCCAGCGCTGTTACGAGCGCGGCGGAGGCTGTGCGCGTTGCCCTGGCGTCCGCCTGGACGCTTTCACGCCAAACCCGCTGATGCTGGCTCACACAAACACACGCACACGCACGCACGCTGACAGACACACTCTCACACGCATCCCCCTCCCCCCTGGCCGTCAGTGGGCATCCACATGCGCGACATTGACGCCGCTGTGCGCACCTACCACCTCCTGTCTGAGCGCTGGTTCACCCACGCGTCGCCGACGCTGTTCAACGCCGGCACGCCGCGGCCGCAGCTCAGCAGCTGCTTCCTGGTCTGCACCAAGGGCGACAGGTGCGTGGAGGCGGGTGGGGGCGGTCCCGGCGTCACGCCCGCCACTCGGGAGAGTGACGGCAGCGCAAAGTGCAAGCCGCCCACCGCGGCCACTGCTCAGGAGCTTCGGCCTGCTCTGAGGCAAGACGACCGGGTGCTGTCATCTTCACAACAGTCTCGTCCTGACCCCCTTGCCCAGTGTTACCCTAGACCAGCTCTTCACATGCACACGCACGCTCACACTCCGCAACACCCAAGATCAATCACACGCAAACGTAATCAATCGCGCATCCAACAATCCATCAATCGCCCCCCGGCCCCCCCCCAACCCCCCAGCATCGAGGGCATCTACGACACCCTGAAGGAGTGCGCCGTCATCTCCAAGAGCGCCGGCGGCATCGGCGTGTCGATCCACAACATCCGCGCCACGGGCTCCTACATCCGCGGCACCAACGGAACCTCCAACGGCATCGTGCCCATGCTGCGCGTGTTCAACGACACCGCGCGGTGAGGAGTCAAGGCGGGGGCAGGGGGGTTTCAAGGGTGTTTGGGGGTGCGCCCTCGTCGGGCGCTGCGGCGACTTGTTCGATGAGTGACGAAATTCTTGACGAAAACGCGGGTAGGTCTATCACGGCACTCCCTGGAGGGACGTCCCTCAGCTCTCGGCTGCCCTTGCTCCTGTTGTTGCCCCAAACCCTTAGTAATATCATCCCCTCATCCTTGTCAACCGCCGCCGCCGTGCAGCTACGTGGACCAGGGCGGCGGCAAGCGCAAGGGCGCGTTTGCGATCTACCTGGAGCCCTGGCACGCGGACGTGTTTGACTTCATCGAGCTGCGCAAGAACCACGGGAAGGAGGAGGCGCGCGCGCGTGACCTGTTTTACGCCCTCTGGATCAACGACCTCTTCATGAGGTGGGGGGCAACACAGGCTTGGGGGCAGTCCCGGGGGAAGAGGGGGGGGTTCACTCCGGGATGTGAGTGGGGGCGCTGGCGTTGGGAGGCGCCCCAACGACGGCGAGGGGCCGGGTGTGTGTGCGCGATGGGCTGCTTCCATCGCCGCGGCCCACCCCACCTTCGGACCTGGGCAACCCCTGGACCCCCTCCCCCGCCCGACCCGCTTCTCTCCCCTCCAACCCGACCCCACCTAACCGCCCACAACCCCAAACCTCAACCCCAACCCCCCAAAACCCCCCGCTCCTCCAGGCGTGTCGAGAGCAACGAGGACTGGAGCCTGTTCTGCCCCAACGAGGCCCCCGGGCTGGCCGAGGTGTGGGGCGACGAGTTCGACGCGCTCTACACCAAGTATGAGAGGGAGGGCCGCGCCCGCAGGGTGGTGCGCGCGCAGCAGCTGTGGTTCGCCATTCTGGAGGGACAGATCGAGACGGGCAACCCCTTCATGCTGTTCAAGGTGGGGGGGGGCACAGCCAACGGGTGAAAAGGGTCGGGGTCTGGGGCAGTGCCGGCAGGAGGGGGGGGGGGCGGCGTCCCGTGCGAGAGATCTGGACCCGCCTGCACTTTTGGCCCCCGTCCCCGCTCCCACTGAACGAGACCCGCTGTCCGCTCCACCCGCACCCTTTTTTCCCCTCACCCTCACCGGCCTCACCACCCCCCAGGACTCGTGCAACCGCAAGAGCAATCAGCAGAACCTGGGCACCATCAAGTGCTCCAACCTGTGCACCGAGATTGTGGAGTACACCGCCCCCGACGAGACCGCGGTGTGCAACCTGGCGTCGATCGCGCTGCCGCGGTTTGTGCGCGAGAGGGGGGCGCAGCCGGGCTACGAGGGGCGCAAGCTCGTGGGCAGCCTGGGGGCCGACAACAGGTGGGGGCGGGGGGCTAGCGGGGGGGATGCA